AAAACCATCAAACATTAACACAAGTATTCGTAACTCCCTGGTGTTTTCAAGTCTTTGTCATATGCAAAGTTTGGAGAACATCTTGCTATAGAGTTCTGGGGATCACTAGCTGCAGTACAGTAGGAATACCAATTCTAGTGTCAATACAAGTGCCACAGGTTACTTGTATCTGTGCTAGGCTCCTCTAATAATGCTAGTTGGACGTTACCTTGCTGCACAGCAAGGATTGCTTATGCGAGTTTAGGGTCCTTCATTTGCTTTTCTTAGAGCTCCTGAGATGTTAATTGTGACATCCACCCACTAATTTAATCTCTTACTTCATGGTTTGAATTTGCTATTTTGGAAATGACTATTATCTCATCTCTCACACTGTGTCCACGATCATGACATTCAAGATCCCTCTCTGTGGTGTCATAGTCTATGTTTCCATGTTGTTGGCCTCGTTGATGCACTATGATAAAATAATAATCTTGTAATGTTGTTATCCAAAGTGCTATTATACCTTCTGGATATTTTAAAAGCAAAGCATAGTTCACCTGGAAAGTAAACCTCCTACTATACAAGTAGTGGCAATAGTGTTTGGCAAAGACCACAACTGCAAGTAGTTGTTTCTTTGTCATACAGTATCTGCATTCAAGAACCATGAGTGTGTGACTGTTGTATGTGATTACGTATTCTACTTCATTCTGCAGCTGCAATAACAACTTTATTGTTGTTGGAATTAGTTGTCATATAGGCTAGCATTTGGCCATCCTCTAAAGCAAACCTTAAAGGTTGGAATATTTGGTCACACTCCTTGCTCCAACTAGAGTGCATCTCAACTTTAATGTGAGCAGACAAGGGGCTGTAAACTTGAAGAAGTTGGCCACAAATCATTGGTAATATCACACAAAACTAATAAAACTACAGACTTCTTGCTTTTTCACAGGTTAGGTCAACCTCTTGCAACAGCTATATATATTTGGCCCATAGCGACTCCATCTCTCCTTACAATGTGACCAAGAAATACTATTTCCATGTCCATTAACACACATTTCCATGGTTTCAGTTTCAAGCCTGCTTTGTTTATTAGCTGGAATACCATTCTCAGTCACACACTCAAATGTGTAACCAAATACCAGAACATTTTCAAAATCTCTCTTATTGAAGTACCTTCAGTGTAGGCTCTATTAGCTACTTATAATGGTGGGAGTGTTACACAGGTTGAAAGGCATTATGAATAATTCATATAAGCCATCTCTCATGCTACAAGCAGCCATAACTCTGCTCTTATCTTCCAACTTTCTAACACATGTAGATACTCATCTGTTCACTGTTTTGTCAGCGATGGACATGAAAACTATAATGTGGGATGAAATTCTATTATACACTCTTTTAATTCTTGAAATTCCAAAAAGAATAGGTTAAGAATGTAGTGTTAAAAAATAATAGACCTAATATAATATAATATCATATAACAAGTATAATTAATTATAATTATGCTTCACCTGTTTGTAAAAGGCATTCAGACTGTAACAATTATTGTTGTAAGAAATGGCCTATAATTGATACTTGAAACCATCGGTAATTGGTGAAACTTCATAATTACAGAATTGAGGAAAAACAAGACAATTGTACGTTTCACAAATACATCATTTATTGGATTCCAACACAGGGAGGATGATGGCTTGTAGAATGTGTATTTGAAAAACGTTCGTATATAGAGGGCAGCACAAAATGCGAAAAGCTAATCTTGTGAGAGGAGGGAAGTATCTATCGGAAATACATTTTCATTTAGGAAAATTATAACTTTAAATTTTTTAAGCTACAGTGTGTTAATTAACTTTGTTGTATAACCATTGTTTACATCAATTTGTTTTATAGTTTTTAATTCAGTTTTATAATTTTCAAATGACAAGGGGCCCAGTATTGCCAGGTGGTTAGGGTGCTCGACTCGCAATCTGTGGGTCGCGGGTTCGAATCCTCATCACACCAAACATGCTCGCCTTTCAGCTGTGGCGGTCAATCCCACTATTCGTTGTTAAAAGAGTAGCCCAAAAGTTGGCG